ACAAAACAGCACATATCACACAAAATAACAAGCCACACCCAAAATAAAAGAACTCATAAGATTACGAAACCATAAGGCACAAGTAAGTAGATAACTTAAAAATTAATACCAACTAGACATAAGACAATATTATGAGGCAGGGCACAAATTTCAAATATATAATTTATATATTTTTATAATGCATAAAGAGTTGGAAAAATAAACTTACCATACTGCAAGTTCACATTTCAAAGCTAGTGCACTGTCCTCCTCTACAGCAATTTTTTCCTCCATTATTGGCCTTATGAAATAGAAATGATGTTATGAATAAATTCTTGTTCACACAACTTGACAGCACCCTTCCGAAAATACTCCTCTTCTTCAAGAAACCACCTGTCAATACTGAAGCCTGGAAAGAAGATCTTTATCTCTCTGGCAGCGGACTCTAATGAATCTGAAAACCATAATTCGGTGCCCATGAAGTAACAAACAAACACTGTGCAGGAGTTATGTAGACATTACTAGCCATCAAGCTCACCTGAACCATGCACTGCATTCCGGGTATCAGACAGTCCAAAGCTTCCTCTAATGCTCATAGGAGCTGTGAACTGAGCATGATATACTTTTGTTGGCCCCATCAAATTCCTCCACACTTTAATTGCATCCTGTCGAGCCAATATATGCACTTCCAATGGACCACTACAACATAAAGAGTCATGAGAACTTCAAAACGCAATGACTATGCAGAGTGCACCCATGTGATGTCATGCACCACCAAACTTGTTGCAAAACTTGATTTTGATCTATTCTTACTAATAATTTACTAACAAACAAACTTCAAGTGTAGTGTAGTTTTACCTACTCCCTTACATATAAACAACTGCCAAGCAATTTCAACATTGTAATTATGTTTGTGATTTGGTGCAAAGCAAATATTTTGTTCTAAAAACTGAAAAATTCCATCACTACAACAACATGAGAGGAATTTAGATCAGACTTTACCCCACCTAAACTGAAAGTCAGGCAAGGAAATTCACATTGACAATGCTCCCTCCATGAACACCAGCATGCAAGGGCAAACAAAAATATTTTCACTTCTACAGATAAGCTACTGGCGTGCACAGAAAAACAGTTAACGCGGCAGCAGTGGATTCTCTACTTTAGACAGAAATTTACAAGGCCAAAACCAAAGGGACGTATGTCAGCTGGCAAATTAGAGAAATCGTGACAGACAGCATATTTTACAAAACTTTAATTAAAGCTGAAGGAGGAACTTGGACAAAACAGCAACCACAAATTTCCTCAAAAACGTCAAGGATGAAAATTACAAGTCAATTGTTGAGGAACTTGCCAATTTTCCAGACCTTCTCTCAACAAACTTGGAAATTGTTAGTGATGAACATGGAGAACACTATCATCAAGAAGTGTCCATGATGGGAAAATGATACCAGAGCAAGTGGAGCTCTACTGTGTTTCCTTACTACTGCTGCTTGGTAAGGAATCCCCCAAGAGGTGAATGCTTCGACACACTTACTGCACCTTTTAATTAGTCCAAATCTCATTTTCTAGAATTTTAAAATAATTTTCTATCACAGGGTTAAAAAGCTGTAAGATCACTTATTTCGGTACATGCAAAAAAAGAATAATTTTTTGTCATCCAATGTTACCTGCACATGAAAGTCACAAGCCTGTTATAAAAGAATTTATTTCTGTGTTCAGCATAAAATGTTGTTGCCACTTCCTCAGTCATGAATGTGGATTTCCTCTGCACCACATAAAAGCCATTAGAAAGAATCAAGTTCCGAATTTTCTGCAAACAAGTGAAATATGTAACACGGTATTATTAACTTCACGGAAGTTTTGACACTATCGCATTGGAAAACGAACAAACTCTAACCTGTAAAACATGTGGAACTTTCATCACATGCGGCTTTATAATTGCTAACGTAAGTTGTAAATGTCCTTGCATTATAATTATTTTACACTTATCATACAATCAATATACATTGCCCGATTCATATATCACACGGCTGCGTTATTTTCAACAGCATTGCACAATCAAACATAAACAAACCCACATAAGCATGATTTAAAGTTCTAACAGTTTTATGGAACAAACGTGGTTACATGTGGTACATTATAAAAGCACAGATTACACGCACTTGACTAACGAAAATATGTGGTACATTATAAAAGCACAGATTAAACGCACTTGACAAACGAAAAAACAACACGATCATCATCTGTGACATGTAGAACTCGTTTCAAAGAATTAAAATTGTATAATGGTTAATGCATTACGTCGTATGTCCATCAAAATGAACTTCTAACTGGGCTGTCAGCTTTTATGCACCGTTCAAATGTTGAATATTTCCCATAAAACATGGCCCTTTTCAAGCAGCAAATTGCTGCTTAGCTAGTCAAATAATTCCTCACTTCACTACAGCCAGCCATCAGCCCCAAAACTGAATTACCTGAATCCAGGCTTCTTCCTCACACGCTACTTCCTTACAATACATTTTAATATACTTCCATCCATGCCTTGGTCTTCCAAGTAGTCTCTTCCCTTAAATATTTCCAATCATATCTTGGATACATTTCTCACCTCTCCCACATTTGCTACATGGCCTGATAATCTCATCCTTAACTTGATCATCCTATTTCGAAAGTAAAAAAAAACATTATGTTCCTCATCATGAAATTTCCTTTACTCTATCATATATTCACCCCATCCCTCTCTACTGGTTTTGCCATCTTTTTGGTTTTAGCCTACAGATATTGAGATATGACAGAGGGACCATAAAAGGATTAAATATGAGAAGTATTTTCAAGTATTTAATTTTGTTCTTAAAATAAATAAAATCTTATTTTCTTACATACTAATAAGAACATAATTCAAATATCACATTTATGATAGCAGGTCCTCACATGCTTCATTTGAAAATGACTTTTACTTCAGTAGCACACAGGAGATGGGTAGAACACTTTATAAATTATATGTGAATTTGAATGCAGTCTCCTTACTTGTCTCCCACAATCTCCATTTTAAGCTGTTGCAAGCTATTCACTGTGCAGGTCATGGTCATCATCCATGAGCCTATTTACGATGCCATTTGAGCAGTTCGGACTCAAACAAAATCCCTTCACCACACACAACCCAGCATTTTTGTCACCTACGTTCCCAGTACCAACATTTTATGTTGATCCATTGCTCAAAACAATCTTTTTCTGGCTTTAAAAACTTATACAGAGTGTGCTATTCTTTGGGACCTAAGTTAACACTTCCTCCAACTGTAAAAAGGTAGTATTCATCTTAACGCGAATAAACAGGCTCCAACATTCCTCAAATAATTTTTCACCTACCTCAGACAAATTTTCAAAACTTAATATCACTTAATATGTCTGTATTTCAATTTCACTGAAATAACTGTAAATGCACAAAAAAACATTGGTGATAAACAGCGATGTTGCCAGTTTTAAATAATCGCATGCAATAAAGCGGTACTTAATACACACATTAATTATACAGAGTTCAAGCTTCACAGTAGAGAACTTCTATAATTATATTGGAGCCAACAAATGAAACAGTAGGCCATAATTTGAAAGATTACCTGTAACATTTATATCCCTTGGAACCCTATGAGGCTCACGTTTTCACAGCTATATGTCAACTAACCTACAACACTACATTTCACATACATTTAATTCATCTTCACTTGCATATGGAAAAGCTGCAGTTTCATTTGGTTTGTTATTATCTTCTACGTTTCCTATAACTCTTACAAATATAATTTATGCAGATAAGGAGAAAAAAGTATCTCTGCAGTTCCCATGGAAGTGAAGAAACTGCCGCTGGTCTTCTCATTTGTAATGGCATGTGGCCTAGTACTGAAGTTTCAGAGAAGCATAATCTCCACCTTCAGCCCTGAAGATGCAGACAGTATGTTTCTAAAAAAAATGTTGCTCTATCTACTGATAGGCCCTTCTTTGTGCTCAAGGAAATACTTAATAGGTACAAAAATAATATAGATTTTTCAGTGCAGTAAATTAGAAGCAGTCAATTCCAGCAGAAAATTTGTATTACTATATTAATTTTAAAAAAAAATTACTTACATATTCATAGTGTTTTTAAGTTACCTGTAAAGACTGCTTGAGTGTTCCAATACACTGTTGAGTTTTGAATCTAAAAATGTACAACTGAAAATTGGAAACCAGATTTATTAATCGCCACCAGCTGCTTCTTTCCAAGGCTCGCCATAATTTTCTACAATAAGAGACTTGAATCTCCTAAGCTTGACACTGATATTCTCTTCGCCAGCTTTTATAGACAGTAACTGAAGTCGAGACACTACAAGAAATTCTGGGTTCATTGGGCTTAAACCACGAATTACATCTACTTCATCTCCAACATGCAACTGGAAAGAAACATGTAATATTTATCACTGAAACTGTATAAGAAAGATTTATGCAAGGTTCTTCACAGAAAGTTGTACATAAAAGAACAATACACAGTATATTTGTAATTTACCTGCACACTCTTCTTAAATATCTTTCGCCCATTGACTCGTATCCTACTTTCATAGAACAAGACTTCCACTTTGCTGCAAAGTTCATTAAAGATTAAACATTATTAATATGAAAATTATTACTTTACACAGACAACATAAAAAAAGGAAAGCTGTACTACTGTACGCCAAGTAAGGGCATGGACGGAGAGAAGGTATAGGTCCTACTCATTCTTAGCCTCAGCACTACATGGGGGAGAGCGGTCAGCGTCACGCCCCGGCTGCACTTTATCCCTGGGAAAAGAACCCCGGTACCCATCTGACAGGAGGCTGGGTGTCACAATATAACTACTAATAATAATATTAGTGTTTATCTATGTGAAAACCACTTCTTATTTACCTTTAATTACAGAAAGTCATACGACAACATTTGGTTCATATGATCAGTTGCCGACAGGATAGCTGAAGGAATCACATTCATCAAAGTCATTTGCTGCTCTGAAGGATCATTTTGGTTTCTGCTATTTGTATGACTAATACATCTGTATTTTCTTCAAAGTCAAAACATTCTACACAACACTCAAACTTGCTACCTACTATTTAACCAATACCTCAGCTGACTAAAGGATGGATTTAGAAAGAAGAAAATCAAAGTAACTTCATTTTGTAATGTCATAAACATGTAACACAATTTTTCTTTATAAGTTATTAGTTATAAATTATGAGCAATAAGTTATACAAGTTAGTATTTTACAATTATGTTGATTAACTTATGAAGGCTTTATGTCTAGAACAAAACCACATAAATCCGTATTAATTTTAAATTTATGTTAATGAAATTCTGCCATTCACTTCATCATTGCATAAAACCATTATGTAACGGTATACTCATATCTAAGTTATAAACAACCCTTACTTCCGAGCTATAGAAAGTCCTGATTTGATGATGAGGTCAGTACGAAGGGAATTTACTTTCACTGTTACAACCTTTGCATTTCTGTCTGGAATTTCATCATCAAAGTCCTCTTCATCCTCTGAATCAGAATATTCCTGTAATTAAACCTACATATGAAATTAAACTCTTCAGCATCTATACATATCAAAGATTCTCAACACTTTAATGGCCACAGTCCATTTCAAGGTAATTCAAATGATGTAAGTCTTTACATTGATATTATAAACAGTCAATAAAATGGAGTATGTCTTGCCTCCTACCAGCTAGACAAAATAGTTAACAACATAGAAGAGGTAAAACCCCTAAAGAAAGAGAACAGCAATGAGATCCATTAGTAGGTTTTAATTCTAGACTGTGAAAAGCAAAAAGTTCTGATGTTTCCAATATAGGATAAACTTTAGTAACAAAATAGTGTGAGCTTGCAATGGTTTTGATATACAACATCAACCAGGTAAATAACAGTCTTCCATAAAAAATATTGTTTTCAATACAAAGTCTTCCTCAGAACTGACAGAACTATAATTATTTAATTATTACAATGTTACTGGCCATATTTCTGATTCTGCATTGGAGGAATAATTCAATTTAATTTCCTTGATGAATTTCTTGGACAATGTTTCGAAACTACTTAGTCAAATCGTGCAGAAAATAAATTTTGATAAGAATGAATACATTCACACGGTTTATTATATTTGATTTACTTGCCTCCGTTGACTCAGTTTGCTTATTCCCTGTATATTTATTTCTCACGTATTCTAGGTTAGGTCTGTACACTTTACACAAACTGTACCACGCCAAAGCTTTCGGAGCACATTTCAAAAATGTGTCTGCATTTAATGACTTTGAATGTAGAATACGAATATAGTTCTTCCTAAGTATTCTACAGAAGAGAGAATTCATTTTTTAACCTGTACAAACGTATATACATACGAACTCAACGGAGAACAACATGATTAAGGTCAATACATCATCAGTTTGACCAACATACTTGTTAAGAAAATGACTGGTTGTAACTAAACTTTCCTGTAAACATAGCACATGCGTTCCAGTGTTACTTTTATGTTTCAACATGATAATCTCAAGACAGTTCTTAACAAATACATTTTTAAGTGATATTTATGCTTTAGCGGAAGCGAGGAACACTTTATGGACTGTCCATACCAGTCTCTCTACAAAGGACGGGTAATTTGAAAAGATGGACCGCGTTCCCACAACACGCGGATTTTCCTTCGATTCAGAAAACAACTTTTAATAAATATTTTCGTAACTTGCATTACTGTGCCTTAAATAAACATGCAACACAATTAACTGTTTCACGTTTTCTGAGTTAGAAATTGCATCGTGAGTCACCCACACGATATGGCATGTACATACAAAA